TCTTTTGTTATTTAAATATTTTAAAACGTGTAAATCTTTTTAAACATACACTTTTTTAGAGTCCTCCATCTTTATATAAATCTGAACTATGTAAGTACTGGACTACGTATTTATTTTGTCTGTCACAGTTGTAAGTGGAACGCGCACCCTGTCTGCTTGAAGCTCAGGGCACGTGGATGCCTGTGCAACCCCAGCAGCCTGCAGTCCTGACACTGTTCATGGACACGATGTTCAGGGCACTTGCTGCCTTGTCCTGCAGGAGATCTGGTGGTGGCAACATTTTGTGTAGTCTAGAAGTGCCTTACGTTCAGTAAATGGGAGAAATCGAAATGAATGGTGACACTTTAAAGACAGATATTTTAAAATAGTGGAAATCTGCTATCAAAATCTCCGGTGGCTTCCAGCAGCTAGCGATATGCTTTGATCATTGGGTCATCAAAGCACAGTGGCTTGATAACGGGAGCAGAAAACAGGATTACAGGGGAGAGCCTGAAAGGACCCAGGAGTAAGTCATCTTAAGAGACAAGAGGAAATTTCATTTGTAAGGAAACTTGAAAAGAGAATTTGGCTGTCATAATTTTTAGTTTAAAATGAAAGCTAAGATGAGGAGAAAGCTGCACTGATGGGAATGAAGAGAGCCTTCACGGCCCTTATGAAGTTTGTAGGCATTGTCCATTGTAAGCCAATAGCCATATAAAAATATATGCTTAGTGTAGGATAGGTACCAGCAGTGCCTCCTGCTTACAGCTCTGGAGACCTAGACTTTACTGAGAGTGGGAATTTTCACTGTGATCATGTCACATTTATTTTCTGTCCCCATGGTTAGGGGATGTTGAAATTACTGTTGAAATGACAAACAGTCTCATAATATAAAAAGCTTTTATGTTCTTGAAGGGTTTTCTTTTTCTTTTTCTTTTTCTTTTTTTTTTTTTACCATAGCTTGTTGTCCCCAGAACACATTTGCTTGGGTTCAGGTTGAACATCATCTCCGTGCTTGCCTGACCCACTTCATGCTCACCTGGCGATGCTCATGCCCTGGTTCTCGCTCCTGCGGCTCCTGCAACTCTGTCCAACAGAGTTTCTCCCGGTGCGCGGTCCCGTCTGTGACCAAGGTGGTATATCGTCAGTGCTTGTGGCCTGTGCTTGGAGGGCGAAGATGTAAAGAAATGTCTTTACAACCTTTACACTCTTGTGGGCACAAAGTAAAAAGTTGTTAAAAATGTTCCTCCTACTACCACAGAACTGAGAAACAAAATAGTTGTGTGGGTTTTCCGTTTGTTTTTAAATAAGTAGGCACTATTTCACAACCTCTCTGTTCAGATGTATGTTTCTCCTTTATATATAGATTCTCTTAGTACAACCTGTTATTAATCAGCTTATCAAGTGCTTTTTGGGATGACAAGACATGAAAACATCTATGCTTGAGGTAGTGTTTTCTCAGTAGGTGCAATTAACAGACTTCCCGTTTTCTAATTGCGCCTGATGGGACGTTAACAAGGCTCTGTATCTCTCTCTACTGCGTGGCTGCAGCATCCGAATAAATAAGAGTATGGACTGGTATCCCCGGTCAGCCCTCTGGGCTGTTTTTGGAGCTCTGGAGTAAATGCTGGTAACTGCTTTGCCGTGTTACTGACCCCAGGTGAAAAGAGAAAGCTGCTTGGCATTAGAGCCGAATACTTAGAGCAGGAGGGTCTCCTGCCAGAAGGGTAGGAGGATAATTTTGTCTTGTTTAAGTACAAAATATTCCTGGATCTTTGAAGATGTTTCTCTCCCATCTGGTATAAGCTTGGCTAACCTGGTTTATGAATCAGAAATGCAAAAAGAACAAGAAAAGCACTTTTTCAAACCTGCATGGCTAGTGCCCAGTGAAACTCCCTCAAGAAAAAGTAGCTTGGATGAACACGTTTGCAATGGAGGGTGTGGTGTATATATCAAATAAGAGTAAAAAAAGCCAACCAATATAAAGCTCATTTTATATAATCTATACATTTTCTGCACATTTCATTAAAATGCTAAAAGTGTACTTACTATTCAAAATACTTGAGTTATGCATGAGTTGAAAGGCAAAAACTCAGTTCTCCTTTGGCTATGATGATGAAAGATTTCTCATTTTGCCTAGTTTCTAACTTGCCTTTGACAAGTTTGGTGCTTCCACAGAGATTTATCCGATATTATTATATCCTGCAGAGCACTCTGAGAACCAATTTATGTTCCTAGCAAGGAGAAATGCTAGATATTTTAGTCTCCTCAAGGAACAGCTTCTGTCTCTCTCTTCACTGTAACGAGTCTGCCCTTTGTGAGTTGGTGCTAATTGCTTCGTTTTATGACAGTTGCTTTTTGTCCTGTGAGGACTTATAGAAGAATATATTATGCACATGTTGCAAATCTATGTAATCTTTCTTTCAAGGCTAACCTATATTGCAAAAGTATGAAGTCACGGTATTTATACAAATTGGATAACTTAGTTGTCTGTTTGGCTTACTGTTTAAGTTGCTAGGCTTTGTCCAGTCTTGTCACTGACCTATATTCAATGAAGACAGGTGGGTGCTTCCAAAGACTTCTAGGTATTAGATATTTTTTCAGTCCTAACATCTGTGTAACGTGCTGTGCCTGGTTCCTAGAAAAGTGAAACAGCAGTAATGGCTTTCACAGTGCAGCCCCATAGCCCCCAGGCTTGGTGGGAAGCAGACAGCTTTCCCCAAAGGGCACTTCGAACCTCAGTGTGAGGATGAGTTGTGGCTCTAGGAAGAGGAGGGGAGGCCCCATTCGGGAAGGAGCATGAGGAGAGTTTGGATGATCACCTGTCAAATTTATGTGAGGTAAAGGACCTCCTCTGCCATCTCTCTCAGAAGTTAAAAGGCCCTTTTGCTTCTGCTGCCTTGGATTGACCCCCTTCCCCAGCCTCATGGTCTGGTGGCAGGTTGCAGAGCGTGGTCTTTGCACTCTCTGCAGTGTGTCCTAATGCTCAGACTAAAGACGGAGGCTCTCTTGCTTGCTGCAGCTCTGGTCCCAGGACTGGCATTCGTGGCTGCCAAGCAGCGCTGTGTAACATGACAGTGGCATGTCATGGCGTGACGGCACGCTCCCCAGCTGCAGGAGGAAGGCAGGCTGGAAGGTCCCCACTTGCCTGGAGACACTCCAGCTGATGGGCTGTTGCACAGAGATGCTCCTGGCTGTTTATTTATTCTCTTTTTCCCTTTTACAAAATACCTTTACCACTCACTGAGTTTTCAACGATGAGATCAGAATGTCTTATCCCATGTAAGTCTTGTGGAATAAAGATAATAATGATGTGTAAGTTGGTTTGATATTCTGAAAGAAGTTTGAAGTTGTTTCACTGTGTACCTTTCAAGTTGTATGAGCTACTGGGCAAGGCAGAAGAATGTGCAGATTTGCATTTCTGTGTCTTAGGACAAGCACATCCACAGCATGTTCTTCAAACCTGAGCAGCAGTTGCCTGCTGTGCTGATGCTTATTTGTTGAGCTGGTAGAGCTAGAACACACAAATCTCTGGTACTGTAAGAGCATTGTAACTTCCAACCTCCTCTGCCATCTCTCTCAGAAGTTAAAAGGCCCTTTTGCTTCCAAATTTGACTACATAAATGTATGCGTGTTATGACTGCATATACTGTAGCAATCTCAGGAACACTAAGTGCCCAGGGATATTGGAGCTGACTTGTAAACAACTCGGAAAACAGTCAAGCCTAGGGTTGGAATCAGAAATGTAAATGCAATTGCCTAAATTAAAGGCTATGGATAAAACAGCTTTGTTGATGTATAAGTTACTTACAGTTAGCACAGAAAATAATTGATATTTTGACAAAGTTACTTACATGGAAAAATGCTACGAGTTTATATGGCTTCACTGAATGTGAGGTATTCTGTACACCTCAGGGTATGCCATGCAGCTCCCAGACTGTCAGCTACACCTGCCTTTGAAAACTCTGAATTCAGTGTTTGGGAGAGAGAAGGTGGTAATATAGGATGTGGTCCTGCATAATGTAGGATGTGTGAAAATCTCACAGTAATTTTCAGGGGAATAGGATCTAGGTGCTGGTTGCATAGTTGATAATGAGATTTCAGAAATAGCTCCTTCTAATCAGGTGAAGTAAAGACTTTCCTTAGTGATACAACCTTAAAATAGTTTGGATAGTTTGAATCCATCCTTATAAATAAAGTTGCATTAGATATAATGCTACAGCATTAATGAGACAAATAAGAATGAAATAGAAATTATCGTCACTTTAAAACCATTATGCAAAATTTTTCTGTGCTGAATATGACAGAGCTGGAAATTTCAAGACCCATGCAAATAGTACTAAAGTAGGTTTGCATGAAGCATTGGAAAAGCTTTTGTGAAAATGGAACTAGTGGGAGTTATTTAAATAACAGTATAGCGTCTATTAACAAAATAGCAAGATTCAAAATAGTAATTTACTTTACACATCTCTTCTAAAACTTGTCCAGAATCAAGATAACTGTCAGCAAATAGTACAGCATTGCAACGCCCCCTCTCAAAATCCTGAAAGAAAAGATCAAGAAATTCTCATCCCTGACAAAACACACACCCTAGTTGCAGAGCATACTACTTCCACCATGTAAAGCAGCTGTAAAATATTATACAGCCATGGCGAAGCCATATGATCTTGAGCTCTTAATCTTTACAAAAGCTTAGGCAGGAAAAAAAGAATGAATTGTATATGCTGTGACTATCTGAGTTACATTATGTATTTAGCGTGACCACTGCCATCTTCCTCTCCATCATTACCATCACCTCCCTCTCCACTTCTCCCATGCCTCATCCTCCTGCGAATGTACATCTCCAGGCCCATCTGTGGTGTGTAGAGCACTTTGACTCCTTTGCCCGCGGACTCACTAACGCTTCTCTCCCAGGCAGTGAGAATGCCTTGTCACACTTGAACCACAAGTGGATTCTGGATTCTCCCGCTTGGAGTTCATGGATGTAACCTGGCAGCAACCAATCTATATGTCTTCTGTAAATGGTCCTCCAAGGGTTTACCTGTAGCAGTGCTGTCATGCTCCCAGGAATAATCACAAGGTTTGTGTTCATTTCTGTAAGTCTTTATTCTGTGATGTGCCCTTGAAACGCACGAGGCGCCAGTGCTGTCTGTAGAGTTTTATTAACAGGGTGTGGGCTGCCTATTCCACAGATCACAAAACCAATTTTTCAATCAGTTAGATACTCCTCATCTTTTCCCCTGAAGCCTGGTGGAAACTTCTGGTTTGGCATTGTCTTTTTTTACAGAATGAGGGGTGGTGGCAGTTTTCCTGCATGTGCTGGGACCACTTCCATAAGGATGACTGGGAAGTGGAGAGAGGGTGGTTTTGGTTTGCTTTCTGGTACTGTGACAATTAACAACTGTTGTGTCTTTAATTTGCACAGTAATCTTTGATAGTGTGTGCAAAGGAACAAAAAAGAGTGTTTTATATGCTTGCTCTACATGCTCAGCTACATATAGCTGGGGGGTACAGAGTTGAATGATGTTGAAATGCCACTATTTCTTTGCACATAGCTTTTGTGTCAGCACTGTTTTCTTTCCTGAAGCTAGGCTGAATGTTGTGCTGTTGATACATACCTGCCACTTGAATTGCCGTTTGGGCTGCGTAGGTGTGAATTCATTCCTCATCCTTTCATAACGCCACTCGTGTGAAGGTCGTCTTGTTCTTGTTCTCTGCCATCACGTGGTCTCCTAAGCTGCGTGCATTAGCAGAAAACTCTGCTGCATGATCAACACGTAACAGTATGAAGGGCTTTTCTGTGGCGTTCTTTGTTTGTTTGTTTACTGACAGACATCTACTACAGCGGTGTCCTATTTTCTGGCTGCTTTGTGGTGGTTGCTTTTGTTTCCCTCTGCAATTCATAATGACCAATTTGGGTTTGAATTGCAAGTATGTTGCATTCGGTTGTGTGTGGTACTTAGGTGGGAGTGGATACTTCGGGATAATAGGAGAGACAGAGCATATATGGAGTGGCTCTTATCCCTGTGAAACCCCTCTACCTTCCACCAATCCTTGGCTCAAGGAATTTGTGAGCTGAAGTACCTGCATGCTTCACAGTCCCTAATGGATATTTTCTGCCTGACTCACGTCATTCATTTTTGTACTGAGCGATACTCCTAGCCTGCATTATTATTTCTATCATGCAATTATATACCGCTTAAAGAAGTACTTCTTTGCGTTTATTTCAAACTTTCTGCTTGCCTTCGTTTGGTGCTTCTTAAATCTCCCGTGGTGAAAAACTATTTGCTGCTCCCTTTTCCCATGGCTGATGGCTGGAGAGGTCCCTGCGCTGGTCCTCCACTGGCAGCTCCTTTCCGCAGTCTGTTTTGTCTCACCCCATGAGGAACCAACTCATCGTCATCATGGGTGGTTTTTGTCTGTATCAGTCTAATCCTGCTGTCTTCTTTTTGGGAGGGGATGGCCGGAGCTGCAGGTGGTATTCAGGAGCATTAAACAAAAGATTTTCCAGCAGCCCTCCATGGCATTGCCTCACGCTGCAAGTGTGCAGAAGGAGCCTCAGGCAGTAAATGGAGCCTGACTGCAGACCATGAGCCTTTTACCTGATCCCTCCAAATTGCCACAGCAGCCAAAAAATGCTGGCCATGTGCAAACGCAGATTAGTGTGGAGGCTGGGGGGGAAGGTGTGTCCACAGGGGAATAAAGTAACTGGTTTTGGGGCTAGTCTGTGCAGATGCCGGGGGGGTTAGGCCTTCTCCTGTGTTTAAGTTGTCAGACCATTGCAGTACTATGTTGAAAACAGTAGTAGTTTACTTTTTTCCAGAATCAGATAAATTCTGGTTGTCAACATCAGTTTAAATCACATTTCTTGCTACAAAGAAATCAAATTCATAACCAGCTCTTCTGGGCATTCAAAAATACTAAATGCATCTCTGAAGAATAAGCATCACTCTTCAAATGAATGATTTTGCTTCTCCTATTAACTGTGTAGTAAAATCTCTGCAATAGTCACAAGAGACGAAGGGAGTTTTTTTGTATTCAGTAGATAAGAATGAGCTAGGCTTTCCTCCAAATCTTTGTTGCAGTAAGGGATTTTTACTTAGAAATTCACAAAGACCAAATTGTACAGATTCCCAGCCCCTGGCATGGATGCTTTGTGTGCTTGTTTGTTTCCACCATAAATGGTTTAAATGCTTTTTTTTTTCCTTTTCTTTCAGACTGGACTGCCAACTGTGCTTGGTTTAGGTGCTTTCAAGATCTGTTTAGAGAATAATGCCTTATTTTTTCCCCATGCTGCTTTACAAAAATTCGGTTTGCAATTATAACATGAAAAAGTGCATGGATTGTATTAGGAATGGAATAGGTTTGTGATAGTGAATGCCAGGGATGAAATCCTAATACTCTTAAAATCTATAACAGACTTCCCAGGGAATTCACTAGCCCCAGGATTTCAGGACTTCTCATATGTGTGGACTGCCCAGAGCACTTGGTGGGTGATGCCCAAACACCCGACCACCCAACCACATTTTCTTTTTGAGAGAAATAGTAAGAATCTGTTCAAAGTGACCCATTCCTGAGAGGTGCTGCTGGGGACCGCAGGGTGCCAGCTGGTCAGGAGGAGGTAAAAGCTGGAGCCATCTGTTAGGCTGTTTCTAAGATGCAGTAGAAAATTTGCAGTTGTATGCAGAGGATGCAAAGAGAAATAAAGTGCAAGATCAAAAGCTAGTCAGTGTATCTACCTACAGGTGTGTCCTATCACACAGCTTGGAGATGCATATTCCTCCTGGATTAGCTAAATGAGCAAGTCCTCTGCCATTGGTAACTGGCAGAAGGCTGAGAAGCAGATTTGGGCTTGGTGCCTCTGTCCGGTAGATTGGAGGCATGGAGGAGTGACTGTAGAAGGTCTCAGATGGCTGGAGTTACCACAGTGAGCGACATCTGTTCTAGGAAAATACAGTGAGACATAAATGGAGCAAATGGGGTTTTAATGGGTTATTAGCAATAGTGCAATTGCATTACACAAATAGGTATGTGAAATGTGTGTTTGAACAGGGTTATCTAAAAGCAAGGTGCCGCTCAGCCATGTTCCAAGCAAAGATGGCATTTCCAGATCCAGTCAACAGCAGCTGAGTAACCCCTCCCCTGGCCTTGCCTTCAGTGCAGGGTGGGTTGTCTCAATTAATTGTCAACAACTGGGCTGTCATAGTCATTGCATCTTAGCTTCTCCTCTGAACTTACCGTTTTTGCTGTGGCGGTGCCTGTCTGTTTTAATCACCCAAGGGAGAGCACAACCATATTTCACAGAAGCCGCCAGTAGCCAGAAGACAACGGTAGTGTCCAGCTCCGGGTTTCACACCTCTCAAAGGCTGCAGATTTTCCTTTTTTTTGTTGCATAGTTTTCCCTCCCCTGGAACTCATATAATTTAAGGATAGCTGCAGAAAAAGAAATTTTTGCCCCTTCTACTTAAGATCTCAGTCAAGTTAGGACTTTGTCCTTGCTATCAGATATGCATTTCCAAGCCCAACTAGTGCAGTGCTGACTTTGAAATCCTTGCTGGCATGCTGTCGGCATGCTGTCTGCCGGCTGTCTGCAGCAGCATCATTTTGGGTCACACCAGGCAATACTGAAAGACCTGTGTTGCCTGTTGTTGAAAAGTTAGTTGAAGGCTGCTACAGAATACATAGAGTAAAAGATAAAAAAGATTGGCCACAGTATTTCTTATATCTTTTATTTATTTTTCTACAAGCAGACAGCCTGAAACAAAGCAAGAGCCAGGAATGTGATCCTGAGGCATTTCACGTTCAGATTCCTTTCTGTCAAAGAATAAATCTTGTTTCAGCCCGACTGTGCAGCTTTAATATAAAAAACCAAAACCAAACCCAACACAAAGCTAGTAATAAAGCAAGGTGCTGGAAAGGGGTCAGGCTCGCAATGAATTCATTTTCTTGGCTTCAAAACATACACAGAACTCAGACTCTCTTTGGAAGACATGGTGGTCTGGTGAAGATGCAGTTCAAAGGCTGCAGTGTTTTCTCAAACTATTTGCCAGCTGTGACTGTACCAATATACAGTTCAGGTGGGCTGAAGGAAGATGCAGTTGAGTAAGTTGCTAGTTTTTGTCAAGTCATTCTTATAAAGTTGTGTCCTGACTTGAACTTTTGTCCTACTCAGCTGACCCTGTTATTGCAGAGTCTGGATTAATTCAGACCCTGTGTCTTTCTGTCTTTCCTGGCAGCAAAAGCACTGTCACCATGGTCTCTCAAGAACAGTTTGACAATACTATGTGCACTTGCTTGTCTTTCATGCTTCTGGTCCATAATTTTAGTACTTGAGTACCTATGACTCTGGAAGTCTTACATTTAAATTATTCTGGATTGCAAGAGTAGACATCTTTTTGGACATTAATTTGCTATAGGCATTTCAACCGAGTCTTTTATTAATCATAAGTCACCAGAAAAAGGCCATGTGACGTTTTTACTACTCAGATGACAAGTATTATCCCTTTATTCCGATGTGATTCTAGAAGAATAGACACAGTATATTTGTAACAACAATCTGGTATTCCCCACAGTGCAGCAAGCTATTTTATTAGCTACCTCCACACTGTAATTGACAGCTTTATTAATTGGACTGTCCTTCAGACAGCCTTGGTGGTAAAGAATGTGTTCATAACATAGTTGAGAATATAAATCATAATGGTATTTTTCAATTTGTACAATTTATTTCAACTTACCTGCTGTCTGTCTTCCTCTGGGGCTGAGCATCGAAGTGCATAATGCAGGACATATGTATGCTTATGGATCTTTAGGTCTCGCTTGCCTTGGTTTGAGATTATGGAGGTACTAAACACTTTGTAGCTTCTTTGCCCACAACTATTTAGCACAACACAAAAGCAAGACACTGTAATCACAGTGGAAGCTTTGGTCTGAGGTAGAGCATTACTTCTTGAAAACTAGCGATTTTCTTCCCAAAAGTCATCCTTTAAATATTCAAAGATTTCAAGTGATAAGGAATTATAGAGACTTTTTATATCACCTGAAATATGGCATATTCAGCAACGTAGCAGAATTTAACATCATAATGGAACACCATTTCATTGTTAATGAACCAGTGAAATATTCCAGCCTTCATTTTAGGTAAATACATTTGACCAGCTGTAGTCTTACAGCTAGAACTGCTCAAAAGATCTCAGTTTCTGGAGCATCATTTCAAACCATAGAGTTTTCTTTTCTTCTCCTCACACAATGTTTACTCAGAGAGGATGCCCTGCCCAGTCTTACTTTGATTTTTATATCAGTGCTCATAGAAGTATTTAGTTAGTTCATCCCAAGCTGTTTAAGATGGTGTCCCCACTGACTCCATACATGGGTCCATCGACCAAGATCCTCAAAATAAAGATAGTTTTATCAGAGTGACCAGTTGTTCTTCCCATATCTGTAGGGCTCTTTGAACAGCAGGAACTAATGTAAGCAGCTGGTATATATGGAGTAGTAGTTGTTGATTATTTCTCATAATGCCATTCTTACAACTCATTAAAATAAGCTACTGTGGCTACTGTACGCTAAAATGAACACGGTGCATAGTTAAACCAGAACCCGTCAAGGCAGGATGCCGCCTGTATCAGAAGTTTAGATGAGTTCAGGAGTAATTAAGGACAAACCAAGAAAAATAACTCCAAGAGCTAAAAAAGGGGCATCATCTAACTCAGGACACCTGTAAACCAGAGTTTGCTGGAGGCTGGAAGGATATCCTGGGGGAGGCAACACTGTGCACCTGCCGGTACTCTTTCCATTGATGGAGTTGTTAGAGACATTTGTCTTGATGAACATCTGCTTTGACCCAGTACAGCCTTTCTTATATGTATGTCATCCTGAACTGTTTGTGCAGAGGCATTGGAGCTGAGGAGCATTGCTTCAAATACCCGACACCCTGGGCCAGTCTAGGGAAAAGGTTATAGTGGGAGTAGTCTTTCTCATTGGACCACACACAGAAGTTAATTGGTAACTGCTAATTTTCTAACTGCCAGTCCTTTCCCTAGACTAGCAGTACCCCACGTGAGTATAGTAATTTCACCTTCATAGTGTCATTCATAAAATTCTACATACACTTTGATGCTTTAGTATCTCTTCCATAGCTTGATCATGACCTAAGATTTTCCAGTCTACTAATACCAGTAATTACTATTACAACATTTGATCAGTTAATCTCTTAAACTAGCAGATTCCATTCTCAGTGCAGGAAGCCATTCTCTCTAATTGCAACCAATACACGGAGAAAATGTTTTAAAAATAAGGAAGCACAGAGTTAAGAGGAAGGCTGCTTAGCATTAAATTGTTACCCTAATAAAATTATCCTTTGGCATTACAGAACTTTATCATTTTACTTCACTTGCGTCAAAATTTCAGAATTATTATGATCCCTCATCTCAAATCAATATCTTACTGCAATGCCATAAACCTCTTTTATTTCCAGGATCAAATCATGTAGTCAGCTATACACATTTATAGAGACTTAATTGAAGAAAAGTGTTGACAAAAGCCAATGTGTATGTAGTGAGCTTCATCATAACAGAGCATTTGTCTCTGTGCAATAACTCTAGTAGCATAATAATCTCTCTTTTATGTTGCTAGAGATAGAGGAGATGCCAGAACTACAGTGATTCAGTGATGGGAGTGTACTCACCACCACTCTGAAGTAGGATTTGAGAGTTTTTCTAAGTCTCTCTCCCACAGAACTCTGCTAAAATGACTAGATTTGGGGAGGAGTGGAGAGTGATAATGTCATTTGCCTTGATTTTAGCAAGGCTTTTGACACTGTCTCTCACAATATACTTGTACCCAAGTTATGCTGTTACATCTGGGTGTATGGACAACTAGATGGGTAAAAAACTGGTTGGATGGTCGGGCTCAGAGGATAGTGGTTAATAAGTCGTACTCTACCTGGATGCCAGTAACAAGTTGAGTAACACTGATTTCTTCCGCAGGACAGAGAATTTCTTTTTCTCTGTCCACTGCTGTTGCAGTGCGCGGAACGGTACCTGGGGTTGGTGTGATTGTTGAATTTTGGTGAGAAACGTGTTGAAACTATTGCAGAATGAGAAATGCAGTTGTAGAGCTACGTCTGAATTCAGAAGATCGTAAGCCAGTTCTTTTCTCTTGGGGCTTTCAGCAACTCTGTGCAAATGATTTAATTTCTTTGTATTCCCCTCGTCTGTGGAAACTTAAGCCAGGGCAACTTAATGATAGGTTAATTGCTGGCAGCTCATCTTCTCTGAAATAGATTAGGGACTGATCCTTCTAGCAGCTCAGCAGGTTGATCTGAGGGCAGTTTACCATTTGTAGCTACATGTGAGATGGAAGTGCTGTAACTGATTTAGCAGGAGCTGAAAGGGGAAATTAATACAAGGCCTCATTTATCACTGCTGTTCTGCAGTGACATGCATGAATTTTTGTACAATGAATGTATTACTGTTATTCTATACATAATCTAGGTGTAGAATGATGATTAGTAATACCTTACTGCCTTAAATTGCCTTTAGGTTAAAGAAAAAGTCCCAGTCGGTGGATATTAGTGGGCCAGGATGCAACCCAGTGGCAGCTGAAGCTCAGACACCTCAGCCCAGTAAATCTTTGCTTGCCACTAAGACAGCTGCTTCTGAGGAGGAACAGAACAACACCACAAACACCCAAAGGCGCAATCCACGGAGGAGTGAGTTGAAGAGATATTACACCATTGGTAAGTTTTCTTTCAAAGAAAAAAATCAAATACACTTACTAAAAAGGCAAGGTCTTCCTGTTTATTTGTGTTTTATTTCTTTTGGTTAATTGCAGTTGGCTACTAAGATGACAAATGCCCACAGTGAGCATTAAGATGTCATATCTTAATGCTGGTGTCAAACTACCCTGAAGAATTAATCTGCTTTATTTATCTTGCACCGTTTACAAGAATTCTTTCTTCCGCCTTTTTTTTTTCTTAAGTATTGAAGAAAGCATAAAAGCAATTTTGGGAGGAAGGATATAGGAAGAACATAATTGCCTTTGACAATGGATTGCATCAGAATTTTGGCAGAGACTGTTTAGAAGGCTCCTGGCTAGAAAGAATTTCCAGTTCGGAGAGGGAGGAGGCCTGCTGAGTACGAAGGACTAATTAGGGGGGTTTCCGTGTATGTTTCTCTGAATACTTTGGTTTTCCGGGTATTATTCTGGGATTTCAGCATCTACATGATTCTTATAAAACCATCTTAGGCACCCTAGAAGATGCTTCATAACTTGCTTCCCCATAAATCATTTTGGGAGTGGGCCTGACTGATTCCTTTGGCAACATTTTGCTTCTCATGTGATTGAAACTAAGTGGAGAGCGGCCTTGTAGTGTTTGTGCTGGGTTCCTTAGTGCTTGCGAGAGGCAGATGTGCTAATGGGAGTGGTACGAACAAGAGGGATGGATGGGAGTGCTGTGCTTTGAAGAGACAAATGTCAGTAGATTTAAGAAAAATAAGTTACACGTTTTAATTGTGGGTTTGTGTGCTGTTGAATTATTGCAGTATAATGTGATGATTTCTTCTGTTCCAAGGTAACTATTTGTGTGTCTTTAACTTGTCTAAAAGGTAAAGAAAAATGTGTTGCCTTAAACATCTTTCATTGTGTTATGTCTGAATCCTTGAAGTTGGCTGTCATTGTAAGTTATGTTGTTTTTAAAGAAGGAAACTGCATTAGCAGTCTAGATATTTTAAGGCTGTATTTTAAGCCGTGAATGGTTGTATGTGTGTGCAGTTTTTGATGCCCTGCATTCAAATTGGGCTGCACAACTGCCTTCTGAAAACTCACAGGAGTTTCAATTATCACTCAATCCTGTCTACCCCAAAATAAGTAAAAATGAAACAAAGTGAAGGCATTGATTGGTTCATTAGTATCTTGGACAATAGGTCTAAAATTTTACTTTAAAAATCTCAAATTGCATAATCTTTCTTTAAAGAAGATTCTATCATATCATGTGTGAGAGTAGAACCCTAAAATAAATACTTTATACTTAAGTATAGAACATGTTTTCTGACAAAGCCTAGTTAAATCAGTGCACTTGAGTGGCTTTTTACTTTAAAATGTATTCTCTAAGAAATATTGCTCCATGGCTTTTTTTCTTCTCCTTCCTCCAAATAATCTTCAAGGAATATCAAAGATATGCCAAGATTGCTTCATACCTAAAGCAGGGGATGGAATGGGGGAGTTTTGCATAAGAGTAATAATGAAAGTAGAAATCCACCACATCATCAAAATGAGTTCTTAATCTAACTCAGGATTAAAAAATATTATTGGTAAATTGACCATAGTTAAATATTCTTCTGTGATCACCCAAAACCCAGTCTGTGTATGGAAGCGCAGACTCAGGTTTGCATTTACCTACTTGTTAAATTTGACTCGCCTGCATTTTCTTTTGGGAACCTTTGCAAAATCCGTATGTACTTCTAGTGATCACAAGGTCTGAGCGCTAGTTGCTCAGGATCTAACCTCAGTGCTGGAATAACAGAATGTTGTTCATACATTCGATTAATTTGTTTGAATATTGTGCAGCACTTGATTTGACAGACTTGTTGACTGGAAAAGACCTCTGAAGGTTATATAGTCTGGTGTCCTGTTTGAAGTGGGACTTCAGCCAACACTACATCAGAACAGCCAAAGCTTTGGCTTGCCAAGTCTTGACGGTCTCCAGGGGTGGATACTCCACAGCCTCTCAGCGTATTGTGCTGGAACATGGACAGACTGTCCATAGACAACAGCATTCACGGGCAACTTGCCCATAAAGATGCTAACATTTGTGAACAACAGTTGTAGACCCTGGGGAAGTATGAGGGGAACAGACCACAGAAAGTGGCCAAGCTTACATATTTTTCTTAAATATCATCTTCCGTTATCCTTGCACAGAGTACCAGGCGAGGTGGCCCGGCTGGACTGACCCAGTATGGGAGACATATTGGTTTTATGTTCTTATTCATACAGCCTTGTCTATGTGACTTGCCTAAATCACAAGGAATAAGTTGCTAGAGCCACTATTACTGCATACTACATAACGTTTGAATTTTGCTGACAGGCAAATTGAAGAAACAAGAGTTTCTCTGTATCTTCACAAATGTTTAATGACACACATTCCTGAATACTGTGAAAATGAAAGGTTTTTCTGATACCAGATGAACATGTTTACTGTACTGGCTGAGTTATTCCGATATTGAGTCTATGGCTTTGATAACCTGAGAGAAACAATAATTATCTTCTTAGAGCTCCCATCAACTTCAGCATACTTTAAGTTATTACCCCTCTGATTTAAAAGTCATTTTCTATGACTTGTCTCAAAAATTATTTCTAATACTCAAAGTCTAATCAAATAGTTTGTTACTTTCTGAGGACGAATGTACTGACACACTTGCAATGGGCTGCAACTCTGAAATAGAAAAATACTGGATTCTAGTGCTGTTTTGTGTACAGTTGGCTGTTAAATAGCTTAAACAAGCACGGTAGACCTGTTGCTGGCCTAATACAATTACACAGGTGTTTACCTTGTTTTGCCCTTGTTTGCATGTTGTTCTCTACTAAAAGCAATCTGTGTCCAAGATCAAGCAACATGAACTAATCATTACTGTGATAAATGGATTAAAAAAATGTGTTAGAAGACTAATGCTCTCAGCTGGCTTTGCTTCTTTCATTTTAAAATTAGTATTCTGTTACATTAACCTCAGACCAAATTGGCAAATGACTGTTTATGGTAGTGACTAATGGAGCTTGAGCAAACAAGTGCCAGTTGTGGTTTGTGTCACTCTGATTTTCCTTAACAACTTATTTTCAGTAATTATCATGATCTTCAAAGTATTTTATAGATATGAGAACTGAGTTCAAATATGTATATATAAAAGAAGTATGACATCTATATTTAGATATGTACGTATATATAGTTTATATGTTTTAAAATGTAAATATCAGTGTCACATTGCCTATTAAAACTTAACTTTAAGGCCCAGTCAGATTTGTTAATGGCTGCCCATTTTATTGAATAGCCATGCAGCTTAAAATTATGTATAAAGAAATGTATAACCAGCTTTACTTTATCAACTCATGGAAAGAGTAAAATCAAAATTATTTTAAAAATATGGTTTTTGATTTGGCTATGCAGAAAGCACTTCAGAGATCTTTATATAAATCTCACTGCTTTGCAGACCTAAAGACATGTGAGCATTTACCTTGCACACACATGCTTTGCAGAAGAAATTGTAGCAGCTTGTGTATGCTTGCAGCTGCTGTCAGCAAATACAGGCAATTGGCTAACAGGCTGTGTTCCTAAATACTCTGTGGCATCAGAATATTTTTAAATTTTTTGTGCCACCTTACGTGTACACAGATTTACCTCGAACCTTTTGAAGTTGAATGTGTAATGGGGAGGGAATATCCTGGTAATTCCAAAAGATTTTAAAATTTCATCAGCACTGCTCCTGCTTTAGAGGAATCTCCACAAGATACTTATTTTGCGTTTCATCTTTCCCACAGACTGCATCTCTGATGCTTCCCAAACTTAATGAGTGCAGTTGCACTTTTTAAAAGCGAGGAAAAAATAGGTAAGAGAGAGAAGTGAGAGGAATAGGCAATGGGGAACAAGTTGTGTGCTCGGATGAGATGAAACAGAAAATGGAGAGTCGGTGAGGGGGAGAAGTAACTCTTCCATATGGCAGGCTCAGCAGGCAGGAAGGCTCCTGCACCTCCAGTGCTGAACTGGTGTGAAGAAATTGAGTGGGAACTCCTAGATTAATAAGGCGAGTGTAGGAAAAACAGTCTGCATGGTGGGTTGGATGAAGTTTTTTGGAGAACTCTTAAGACACTTAAAAACCTAAAATTAGACTTTTTAAATGCTTCAGGCACTTAAAAATTCAGGCCACTTATTTCTGAAGTGCTTATTGTTGAGCAACTCCCTCGAAAGAGAAAAAGAAGGTATCTGGGTCTTCAGCACTCTAAAAAGCGGGCTGGAATATTATACAATGGAGAATTATATGGGTGACCTGAATTTGAAGCAGTAAGGCCATATCAGCTTACTGCTGTGTCCAGGCTACAACTAGCTCTTCTTAGCTGGCTTGCAGTTATCCCAGGTGCAGCATCACAGCTGCATTGCTTGTAGGACTCAACGGAAGGGTTGTAAGACCGTGCTTCATGGTATGATGCCTCAGGGTATATGTTTAGCAATTTATTAAGGTGACTGCAGTAGCTAATACTGTTACCCTATAAAGACATTTACTTGAGGTGTATACTCTGGTTCTCATTAAGCCATGAAAGCCTGGTGTACAGTGCTTAGATAGTCTACTGGGTATATCCTCTTAGAGGTATCTACCTAGTAACTCTGGTTTTGTAGATGCAAAATGCCTTTATTTGTTCTATTTGCCATTAAAATAAACCTGCAGCACTGGTATAGAGTAAATACATTATTTAAAAATAAGATGGTTGAATAAAAATATTTTCCTAATTGTAGGGATCAGGCAAAAGAAAACATGAAACAGGACAGTAGTTCATACCAGAAAATGTTGTTAAGAGTACAGTGTTGGTGGGGAGAGTAGGAATGCAGCAATTTTTATTCTATGTTCTAATATCTAATAAAAGCCTTAATGCAAACTTTGCTGTACAGGCTTCTGCTAGCGCAGCTTATTTCATTTAGAAGACAACTCTCAACTATCTCAGGAGGCATCTTTTGTTGGTATAGTCTCTATCTTC